GGGAAATTCCTCTTAACTCTCACCTAAAAGTTACGTGGATTCTTTATTCCCAGATTTTTTAAACCTTTTCCCTTTTCCCACCTTATGTTTCCCCTCATGTAAATATTGGCTTGGCTTCCAGCAAAACATTTCCCTGACGCTTCCAGTTCTTTGTTGTGGAAAATACAAGTGGGAGGAAGGTTACCTCTGAAAAGGTAGGAGGTTACGGTACCTCTGAAACCTGTATCTTTGCAAACCATCCTCCTTGTGTTTCTGGTAACAACAATTTTAGCCCTGGGAGAAACTGTGACCTTTGCTCAGTAAGCTGATTTTCTCCTCTATTTGAGCTCTAAGCTACTTTTGATTTCTGTGTTTTAAACGGTATCTAGTCGCTGCCACCTGGTGCCAGGATATGCATGGTCTGGAAGAGCTTTTCTCATCTGATGACAGCTCTTCTGTGCCAAGCGTCACGTAGCTGTCACCTTCCTCCCTAATTTAAATAGGGTTTGGTATGTGGAGTGAATTTTGGAAGGAAAACGACCATTGATGGGACTGAGGTGGGAGAGGATCTGGCCACGTGCTGACCCTGCTCCTCTCCTCAGCACTTCAAGAGGTCCACAAGTGTAGTGTGAGACAGGCACCTATGTCCTTTCATAAACCTGATTGGCTGGAGATGGGGAGAAATGAAGAAAGTTAGTTTTCCAGAAATTACGCTCCTGCCTAAGGACCCTGACATCTGTAAAGGAAATTAGATACCTTGTAGGCTGGGTAGTGACAGATGAGAATAAGGTCACTTCCAAGAAGCTTAAATTAGTTAGCTCTTTAATTTGCATGTTATGCAAGGGAGGAGGGGGAACCTCCCCCCTCCTCTTGTGTAAGAAGGGGTGCAGGGGGACTGGACGGCCCCTAAGAGGAAAGTAAGGTGCACGAGGGGCAGTGAATGAAGTAAAGGGACAAGTTATGCAACTTTCACTTAATTGAGAATTGTGTTTCAAATCTGCAGAAAACAGCATGTTGCTCCCCTTGTTCCCTAGACAGAAAGGCACAGTTTTACAATCTCCTTTTATTGTTTTGCTGATAAGCAGGCATTTCACATTTCTGACACTATACAAAATGTCCTTTAGAAAACTCAGTCAGTGCCATGGCCTTTTCCAGCTGGAACATTAAAACCAGAGCCTGGCTGGCCAGCTAAGTTTTCACCCCATAACACAGTGCCTCAGCTGTGGCTGGCCAAGGTACTCCAGCCAGAAAGGGAAAAAGCCTGCTGCAGGAGCAGTCGGCTTCAACTCCTGCTTCCACCCTCACCCAAACGGGTAGCAGTGCAAATACAGCACAAACTTCCCGGACCTTGGGGCAAGCTGGCTTGGCATGCACCGGGACGACTTGTTAAGTACATGACTTTGTACGATCGCACATGACTTTGTATTTTGATTCTGCAAACGCTGACTGCTAGCCAAAGGTTAGTCCTGTTCTGCTTATAAGACCCCTACTGTGACCCACACTGTTGCAGACTCCTACTATAAACAGCTACGGAGTGACCGAACCTTCCTTCTTTGGCAAAACTCCCGAAAGGTATTTCTGTGTGGCACAGACCTGCCCCGTATCTCCCAGTGTCCAAGGAATGGTCGGGGGTTACCCCTTCCTGGGGAAACCCACCTCCTGGCTTGGCAATCCCCGTGGCCTGAAATGACTCATCTGGGCCACTGGCAACTGAACATAAATTTGTTTTCGCATTACTCAAACAAGCAACAGGAATAGCTTGATTCTGGTCAGTCTCCAGATCTGAAAGCAGAGCTATCAGAAATCGCTGAATCAGAGGATATGGATCTCTGACAACAATAATATTTATGAATCCTTACCAAAAATTGCTGAAGATGTTTTTGTTTTTTCAAAAAAAAAAAAAAAAGCAGCACCTTCAGAGGTCCCTGCGATATGTTTGTGCTTTGTTACTCAAAGGAAACATGCATGCCAATTTTGCCAGCTAACAAAATACTTTCTAACAAGGCATTTTGACAAAGCTGAAAATATCTTTCACTGATATGAGTCATTTTGGCTTCAAGTGCACATCTTAGAAAAAGGAATCTCAGAAAAAATCTCTTTTAAGTAACTGCTGGCATGAAATATGGTCTTTAAGTGACAGGCCTGGAAAGGCTATGCATATTTGTATTCTATACAGAAACGATAGCTATCTTTCAACCCACACAACTGCTCTGTGTTTTTTTTCTTTCTTTTTTTTTTTTTAAACACTAAGAAGCAAAAAAAAAAAAAATCACCTAATTTCTTTCCCAACTTTTGGATACTGATAGTTTATTACTTCAGTGCGCTACAATTACCTTTTATATGTAACTAGGTGACCTCTGCTGGTAGATTCTTATCATAACTGGAATAATTCACACGTACAGATACATTGGTATTCTGGTAAGTGCTGCCCTACATACACAGAAAGACATAATACCCAAGAAGATATAATCCCTGCTCTGAAAAATAAACTCCCACGCTGAAGAGGTGTAAAAAAAACCTGTATAACCCAGCTTTCTCCACTCACAGATGTTTTATAGGGCAGTTTTTAGAGAACCTTTAATAAAAAGGTATGACCATCTCAGGATGGGGCCACTGGTGTTTATTCAGCATAATGGCCTAAATGCTCACTATTGCTCGGAAAGCCCCTAAACTTCATCCTGCTAGAAGCAGGGAGGTTGTACCGAGGAAAGGATTAGTCTCCACTAGCATCCCTTTCTTATACTCTTTCTCATACCATCTGCTAACAGCCATTGTGGGAGAAAGGATACCAGCTAAATGGACCTTTATTCTGACTCAGCACGGTTGTAGACAGTCTGTCCGCTATGATACAGTGGCACAGTATAATTTGATACTTTAAAAAAACAGCCATTCACCTGAGAGATCACAATGCAACTCGCAGTTAACAGCCTTGGTCTTTGTGATATCCAAGGTCATTTCTATTATTACAGCACAGTGCACGGAAATACCACAAATACCAAGAGAGTCTTATCTCTTTATCATAGGTGAAATTGGCACGCTTTGCAGCACAACGGCTCCACGTCGGATCACAGGCATTCGAGTTCATTTGAGTTTATATTCAGAGGCTGGCTTGCTCAGCTGGGAGCTCAGTGGATTTCACATGTGTATGTATTTACAGCGGCATTGCCGCGGCCACTTCTCAAGTGCCCAGCTTCCACGCTGACAGCGACCGTGCCTCAGCACAAGGCAGCAAATGTAAACGTGACGGAAAAAAAACTGGCCCTGACCTTGCCAGAGGTAGTGGTAGGAGGCAAAGGCTGGGCAGGGGTCTTTCCTCCCCCTGACCACGCATCCCTGGCTTTACCCACCTGCTGCTGCTCGCATGGCCCAGGCCCTATAACGCGCTGTGACACAGCACCCTGCCTTGCCACGGAAGAAAAGGGGGGTTATACCCTAACGCCTCACCGCTGCCGCCAAACCCAACCGTTCGAGACCCCCCCAGCGCCCTCTCGGTTGGACCCGCCAAGAGCGGGCGGAGGGT